CGGTTCTTTCAGGCCACCCACGCCGCGTCTTTTTTCTTTAAAATCTTAATTCAACCTCACTTAAATTCCACATTTATACTCGGTTCGCTATTCCCAGTCCGAACTGTCTAGTGAATTTAGTAATTATTTTTTTGCGAAGTTAGTTACTTTTTGACAGACTAAAAGTGGCTGGAAATTACTATACAACCAAGCACACGTACTCATAGCCAATATTAATAGTAAACAAACTAAATAGTAAATAAAATAGAACTTTGCGAATTACCGACAATCAATATTTATTTATCTGCACCATATAATAAATAGTTATGTTAAATTATAACAACTAAAATATATTTTTTAAATATATACTACCCAAAATTTGATGGGTTTAGTATACACTTCCACTATTTAGAATAATTCTTCTTTTTTCAAAGAAAGAAGTCTGCAATAGTAGTATACTTGAGCTATTAATACTGAGAAGTAGGAATTGTTGTGTTGTAGGTTTCCGACAATGAATCTGTCAAAATATGCTCAAGCTAAACGAATGGAGTATAACCAAAGAATATAGACTAACAAATATCGGGTGATCCAGTTTTATAGATTTTTTGAGTCGATGGTACTTAATTTAGAGAATATTTTGATCCAGAGAGTCAATAATGTTACAGATCTAAGTATGGTTTTTCTCAGAAATTTGTCTTTTAATTTGCAAATAGATCTTATATGCAACAAAGCTATGCAAATGCATGTATCAAAAAGTTAGAGAGAGTTCAAAGATTTCTGAAATACTGTTCTTTTAAACTGCGTAGACCATATTCTTATTCTGGTGTGATTAATTTCTTGAATCTAGGTTTTTTTTCTTACCAGAAGAATTAACTTTGACTTTGATCATTATTTTTAAGCTTAATAATCCAATCTCCTGAATTGCTTCAGCCAGTTTGTTTTACATATTCCTTCCCATTCACTGCTTTAGAATTGACTTTTTCATGTTTCATATCACAGAATAAATTATGGTTCAAATATAGGTGTGGTCCTACTTTTCATGCATGGTAATCAGTTACCTCATTAGATAGATTTAACTTATGTATCAATATCTTAAGGATCTATTTGAAGCACTAAAATGCAAACAATAAATTTGTATAAAGTGTGTACTTGCAATTTCTTTAATGCTGGATTCTTGTTTAATTTTGACAGTGAGTTTGTCCCATTTGTTATCAATAAATAAAATTTACTAAAAAATACTGGATTTCTGTGAGATAATCAACAATTCAATCTATTATGTTACATTCTAGTATAATTTGAGTTTTCTGTGATGATCAACAGAAGAACAAACCAACTGTATCAATACAATCAAAGTAAAACACAACATTACTAATGTTCTTTTATTGTGATGAAAACAAAATGAAAATGCTTCTTAACAAGTATACACAAATTTAAAAGATAGTTGCCGTTTTTCTTATGATAATTAGATATAAATATCATACATTTATAAATTTATAAACACTGTAAACTATATTTATTATATATATCAGCTAGAAAAATATCACATTAAATACTATTATCGCATATCACCAAGTCCAAGTTATTACAAAAACAACTTAAAGAGTCAGAAATCGATTTATATAATATTCTGTGCATAATATATATTCGGAATGAATGTAAAAATAAAAATTTAATAATTTTATTAGTCTTCCAAAATCTCTCCATTTATGTCTTGGTGAGATTAATGAACAACTACACCATTTTGAATTTCTTGATTTATTTTTTCAGCAAAAACTGAATCTATTTCAGATATTTGAGCAAGAAAGTTTTGTTTTTGGTCAGCAGCCCAATGTATAAACTATTCTTTGAATAATTTCCCCTAAAAAATAACTATGGTAAGACATTCATAATATAGACAATAAATCAATCATCCTATAAACAGTAAGATAAACAATCTATAGTTATGCTATGTAATATTTGCTGCATTGAATCTGCATATGTAAAGTAAAAATATCCTTTTTTTTCCTTTTCTTCCCTTTCCATGTTCTTATATCTGTTGAACCAAAATACTTGACAACATTCCAGTAGAGTATACAAATAAAAACTTAAAACTTAATATTTAATAGTAACAATAATATACCTGATTATAAAAATGAAATCTATAAAATGTTTTAGTTAATTTTACTATATAATTGTAGCTAACCCATATTTACATACCGATATTTGTACTTACTTCAAATTGATTTGCTTCAAGAATTTATATAATAATGAACGACACATATTTTGGAAGATCTGAGCGGTTGTTAATTTCACTTAAAATTTTACCTAAAGTGAGCATTTCATTCTTGAAAAAGAAGCTGTGTACTATCTGTCGTATAGATGTTTTAACTCTTTCATCCTATGTTGCAAGAATATAAGGTCGACCTTCAATATTTTTAGGACATTTTACTGCTCTAGTCTGCTTATAAGGAATCAGACAACAAAAAAGAAAAGAAAACGAAAAATTAATAACAACAACTATTGAAAAAAATAAGAGTATGAAATGTCTCAGACCGACACTAGGACGACGTCAGATGATATCATTAATAGGAAAAGACGAAAATGAAATCACAAGTAGAGAAAACATACTGACACGAATAGAAGAATTTTACACAGAACTTTACAGATCACATCAACAAGATGATGAGATGAGACCAGCACGGAAATTAATAAAAAATGTTGGATCAGAAATAATGCCAAAAGTAACAATTTCAGAGGTAACTACAGCATTGGAAAACATGAAGAGAAATAAAGCTGCAGGAGAAGATAGTATTACCACAGATATGATATTAGAAGGAGGTAAGGAACTAATTGCAATTGTAACTAAGCTTGTGGACAGTTGTTTACATCAGGGCAAAGTCCCTAAGAGCTGGAACAACTCTAAAGTAATCTTATTGCACAAGAAAGGTGATAGTCGAAAATTGGAAAACTACAGACCCATCAGCCTACTGTCACACCTGTTTAAAATACTCACCAAAGTCATAACTACTCGACTAACAAGGAAATTAGACGAATACCAACCATATGAACAGGCAGGTTTTAGAAAAGGCTATTCAACTTCCGATCACCTGTTAACCACAAAAATATTAATAGAAAAATGTAACGAATACAAGTTTCCAGTTTTCCTTGCATTTGTAGACTACGAAAAAGCTTTCGATACCATAGAACACACGGCCGTAATAAACGCAATGCAAAATTGTAGAATAGACAGCAGATATATTAACTTAATAAAAGAAACTATGAACCAAGCTACAGCTACATACTACCTAAATGAAAATGAACACACGAACCCTGTACCATTAAACAGGGGAGTCAAACAGGGAGATACTTTATCACCCAAACTGTTCACCTTAGTTTTGGAGGACGTTTTTAAAAACCTAAATTGGAAATATAAGGGAATAAACATCAATGGCCGCTACCTCAGTAATCTACGATTTGCAGATGACATAATCCTGATAGCTACTGACCTACAAGAAATGCAAACCATGCTTGTAGAACTTCATACCGAATCTTCTAAAATAGGACTGAAAATGAATTTAAACAAAACAAAAGTCATGCACTCCGAAGACACCGTGACAATAATAAACGATAAAGTTATAGAAAAAGTTGAAGAATATATATACTTGGGACAAAAAATAATCCTAAATAGGGAAATTCAGACTGAAGAAATAAAAAGAAGAAGAAAGTTAGCTTGGGCAGCATTCGGTAAACTGAACTATATACTCAGAAATCAACAAATTCAATTACATCTTAGATCTAAAGTTTTTGATGCATGCATTATTCCGATATTAACTTATGCGGCACAAACATGGACAATCACAAAAAAGAATATGAATATACTTAGAGTCACTCAACACGCGATGGAAAGAGCAATGCTAGGTATATCACTTAAGGACAAGAAAACAAACACATGGATAAGACAGAAAACCAAAGTCACCGATGTGGTGCAAAAAGCATTAAAGCTGAAATGGGAATACGCTGGACATGTAGCTAGGAGCGATCTAAACAAATGGCACAGATCAATTTTAACCTGGAGACCATACCAACACAAAAGACCCAGAGGCAGACCTCCTATGAGATGGACAGATGATCTGAAAAGGACTGCCGGGAAAAATTGGCTACAAGTACCGTACAATAAAAAACAATGGAAAGGAAGACTTGAAGAGGCTTATGTTCAGATGTGGACGTGAATGGCTAGACGAAGAAGAAGAAGAAGAAGTCTGCTTATATTCTTTAATTGTTCTAAATTCTATTGTTGTAAATAGTTGAATTCGCAACACCTAAAATTAGCACATTACTTTAGTAAGTCTTGATTTTAATAATAACTATTCTGTAAAACTAACCTGCTGCCTGTTTTATTTTTACTACCGTGGCTGTTATTTTTATTCCAGAATTATCAATTTTCATGTTTGTACATGTTTATAGTACATTATTTCTCATTTGATGATAAATGATCCAAATCTACTCGGCGTTTTTAAGGTGGAGAAGAATAATTACCACTAGTACTTGGCATTGAATCCATATTGTTATCTTAATAACACTAATATGTCGCTAAATAGTTCTGAAAAGAACTGTTTTTTATATAAATGCAAACGAAAAATCTAAAGATGTAAGAAATAACACAGAAAATACAAAAAATTGTCGATATAAATTTTGAATTTTAAAATTTCACAAACGTCATTAGTGTCAATATGTCATAATTTAGTGGAGTAAACTTGCCTGCGATTCGACCAATTACAAACAAGCATTATGGCGCGGAAAATTTGAATTACTCCTCCTGGTTTAAAAACAGACCATAACAGTAGATCCTTTTTATTGGAATAATGATTAGACCAATTTACTTTCATACTTCTACTTGCACAGTAAAATATTCATTGTCGCAATAATCCAAAACAGTCGTATATTCGTGGAAAACCTATAACGAGAATTTTAATAAAGAAAATGGAGATAATTATATACAGCGATATGTATAATTATTATTCCTAAAATATAACGTTTTTTAGGATTATGTGCAACATGCTGTTCCTCCGTTATTATTGAATTAGGTGACAGGTTGTCTGACCTTTGGAACGATGGTGGAGATTGGTTGATCAAATTTTATGCTCCTTGGTGTGGACATTGCCAAAAGTTGGAGCCTGTATGGTTTGAAGTGAGTAAAGCACTTAAGAAGGTCTCAAGTGTTCGAGTTGGTCAAGTAGATTGCAGTAAGTTTCCAGAAATTGCTACTGAATTTGGTATCCGGGGATATCCAACTATCAAGTTGTAAGTATTTAAAATTTATTACATTAAGTCCAATTTTTTTGCAGTTAGATCTACTGAAAAAACAAAACATGAGAATGGAAGACAAAATCGACACAATGATTAAGAGATGGCAGAACTAACAGAAGAAAACATGGATCAAAAAGAAAAGAATCAAGAACTCAAACAATACTGCAAATCCAAGAAAGAAAGGTATATTTATTAGAAACAGAAATAAAAAAAATAATTTGATCATCCACGGAATAGAAGACATCGAAAATGAATAAGAAATGCAAATTAAACATAAGACATTAGAAATTTCAAGTAGAACTAAATACAGATCAAGATATTATAGAAATACGAATACTTAGTATCAAAAATATTAATAAGAAAAGACTGATCCTCATCGAATTCAAAAGTTGGAGTAAAAAGAACGAGGTCGTCAAAGAAACAAAGAAATTAAGAGGTACAGACATATTTATCAATGAAGACTATCCATAAGACATACAAATTCGAAGAAAGGAACTTGCAAATATCAAAAAGAAGCAAGAGAGAAAGGTCAAAATGCAGGTATTAACAATGGATTTGTTCCATTATGTCGAGCTAACGATAACTTTCCATCGTTTTTTTTTATTTCATTGCATCATTCAACAGCAAGTTTTGTGTTCCAAAATTTTAAATATGGACGATATCATGAAGATGACAACAAAAATTGTGAATTCAATCGGAGCGCGAAGCTTGCAACGACGTCTTTTTAAAGCGCAAGAACGAGGGGACGACACTCATCTACTTTAAAAAGAAAAATGGCTCAGTGATCTAGCTTTCTTAACAGATTTAACAAATCATTTGAATCTCCTTAATTTTGAACTACAAGGTAAAAATAAAACAATTATCGATATGATAAGCGCAATACATTCTTTTGTCAACAAATTGAAATTATTGATTAAGCAAATTAGCAGAAAGGATTTAAACAACTTTCCATCGTTGAAAAAAGGGTAGCCGCTCATTTGAATTATGTTTATTACAAGACGGAGCTGCAAGCACTTCATAGCGAGTTTGAAAGACGCTTCGCTGATTTTAAAAAACTGACAGATATTGTAACATCATGTCTAATCCATTTTCTTGTCAAGACGTGGAAAAAATAGCCACTGAAATATCCGTTACGTTCAATATGGAGATCATTTCCGTCAAAATGAGGTACTGAAAATAATTTCGGATATACACCTTAAATCCAGAGCGACCGATACGAAATTTTGGTCTTTCATATCGTCTGAGAAATATCCGTCTTTGAGACAAGTAGCTCTGCAGCTCACAGCATTCTTTGGATCAACATACTTGTGTGAGTCTGCATTTTCCCAAATGAAGATAGTGAAATCAAAATATCGTAATCGGCTAGCTGACGAACATCTCTCTTCATGCTTGGGTTTGGCCCTCGGTAATTACGTACCATCATATGAAATACTTGTGGATGATATGCAGTGCCATGCATCAACATCCAAATAAAATTAATATGAAAAACATGACTTTAATTACAACTCTCTGTAGTTACAACTTTTATCAACTAGAAATGTGCAATAAAGTTTTTTATTTCAAAATTGTTTTTTTACTATGCTTTGTTTGTAAACCAGGAGGAGTAAACTAAAGAGACAGATTCACACCCAAGAAAGTCACTAGAAAAGTTACCAAATACATCTTCTTTTTTGGTTGATCATATCGGCCTTCGACGGTAATCCAAAAATATTATATTATACTAATACGTCGCTAAAGAGTTCTAAAAACAACTGTATTTTATATAAAAGCAGACTAAAAATCTAAAAATTAAAAGAATAACACAAAAAATTGCCGATATAACTTAATAACCTATGAAATGCCATTAGTGTCAAAATTTCATAACAGTGGAGTAAACTTGCCTGAGATTGGACCAATTACAAACATTGCGGCGCGGTAAATTTGAATTACTCCTCCTGGTTTAAAAACGGTATAGTAGTCGATCTCTGGACGCTTGCAGTTTATGTGGTAGATCCCATGCAGTATAAGTCTGAGCACCACTGTCCTAGGGCATAAAAAGTGGGCGTTATGGCCTATAACGCCTGTTGTATAAGAAAAAAAAGCAAATGTTATAGAACGAAGTTTTTTTTTATTTTAAACAATTTTCAAAGGAGTAAATATTATAGAACTAACATTTTTTAACCTTATAAATGGGAAATATCGGCATTTTCGTTAATAATTAATGTAGATTTAAAATGGAATATTTAGTCCACAAGGGATTTGGAGAATACTTAAAAAAAGAACAAAAATTAACATACTAATTCCTGAAAGTAAGCCAATATCACAGAATAATAAACAATCAAAATGCCCACTTTGCTTGAAAAAATAAGTACGCGCAGACGCAATCAGCCATGTTTTAGTCCGAACCAGTGCTGTTCAGTGACATTTTATCTAGTGTGCATAGAAAGCCCATTTTAATTTATTTACAACTATAAACCTAATATGCACTATTTTATTCGTACTTTTTGTTAAGGTTGATCTTCACCCTCGATTAATTTGTTTCTGATCCTAGAGATGGCTCTACTGCGGCATTCTAATCTGGTAAATTTTTTAACTTAATTGTAGATTTCTACATGATGACTCTGTAATATTTTTAAACCCAAGATGAATTGCAGTTTTCTATCATTATATCCATTGGCTGAGTTGCCAAGTTGTGTAGACAGTAATTTTATCAAATACGCTATAACTTGTATGCTTAGTAGTAGACCAAGTAAGTAAAGATATCTTTAACAACATCTTTATGTATAATACTTTACTGCTCTGCTGTGTCAATCGGAATATATACAAAATGAACATTCATTATCTAAACAATTTTATCGACAAAGAAATTATTATACTTGTGGCTATATCTGTGAATATCGTATTACCAATAAATTTGTACATCATATTATAGTACATTTTTGTTGATAGTTGAAAATTAAATGGTCTGGTTTATGTAATATTTTAGTGGGAAATAACAAAAATTTTATTTAGAACATACGAACATGTCTTCCTTTTTGGTCTGTTTATTATTATCTATTACTATCTCAGTCTTTATGCATTAATTAATTTTACTAGGTCTTCCTCTTCGGTTATATTTATATTTCTTATTTCATGCTTCATTAGTATTTTATATTCTCCTTGTTCTGGCTTTATTGGTCTGTTTATTCTTATAATTTTTCTTTTAATAATTCTTACTTTTTCTTCATCTTTTTTGTAAGACACATTACTTCCGCTCCGTATGCTATCATTGGTCTAATTGCTGCTCTATATATTTTTGTCTTTGTTTTTTTTTGCTGTTTTTTTTATTTTTAAGTAGTGGGTGATATTTCCAAAACACCCCGTTCTTTTCCCGCCTTGTGTGCGTGGTAGTCATACGTTGGATGTATTATTTGGAGTGGTTGACGAGTATTTAGTTATCACGGTTCTATTTGGTGTATTTAGTTCTTCAGTTTCCGTATTCGACGAATTATAACGTCAAATGGGGACTATGTGAAAGGGTTGTAATAGTAGTTATCTACCAGAAACTGAAATCTATAACTTTCCCAACGAACTTTATGAAATAAAAAAAACTTTCAAGCTCATTCCGAGAAAATTTATTGTAAATATTAGTATTTTTGTGACGTCAGTTACACTACAAAAAAAGTCATAAATATAAAATGTGTTAAGTTGTATGAGCTGTAAAGCCTATTTGTATCGGTTAATTTGTTCCAAGAGTAATTTAAAAATATCGGTTTGAATTTTGTGATGTTATAGCGATCGCCATATTGTTAGACGCCCTGGACAAAATCCATTCTAAAAGTCTTGGTAATGTTTATTAAGTATATAATGTGAAAATTACAAAACTATGACCAAAAATAAAGTATTCTCTGAATCACCTTGTATACAGCTCTGTATTAAACTATGAACTATTTTTATAGAATTTTGTGCAAAGTTTGGTAAAAATGAGTTGTTGTGCAGAACGACATACACGAATTTTGACGGACAGACATTTTTTAATAGGGCGGATCTGTAAAAAATTGTTTCGGTTGATTGTTCTGAGACGGCACACAATTTTTTGCTGAAATAGATTCAGAATAACTTGCATACCAATAAGGACTGACTATTTGAGAATAAGGAGGATCACTTACTAATTATTGTTCTGCAAGTTATGCTGAAACCATTTCATCAAACATTTGTATGCTGCCTAGTTCTAAAAAATGGTGTTTTTGGAACAACAAAGAATGAAAATTTCAAAATAACACTTTGTACTTCATAGTGAGATATTAAAAATTAATTAGACTACAGCATATAAAGATACACTACTCTATTGTTTATAAATACTAAAATAATTAACTAAAAACGCCTAAATAGGTTTTTAAACTAAATAGGTTTTATAGATATATTACTTATAGAGTGTAAATTTTATGATATCGTACTTTCAAAATAAAAGTTGCAGTATCTACTATTCTGTAACTCTGTAAGTTTCAGCATGACCAGTTCAAAATTCAAACCGATAACATTCCTATTAAATTTGTGATAATCTGCCAAAGTGTTGTACAAAGTAATTGATATGGCAACCCTGTTAGTATGACGTTTCGTTTGAAGCGTTTCGAAGCCGAACGTAATGCTATCTATCGATGATAAATACTACCATTGCTTCAGATGGAGCCATCTCCCAACATTACAATTTGAAAGCGGCAGTTCAAGACATAATTCTTGTTTAACGAGATTTTTCATATGTTTAGGAAAAAATATTTAACGTTTTATTGCAAATATTTTCCACTTTTACAGTTTTATATATATGTTGTTATTAAAAAAATTTTCGGTTTCTTACCGGTAGCTTTATTATAAGCCGAAACATATTATTTTTTTCCTATTGGGACAAAACTGTAAATTCAAAATTTTTCAAAAAATTCATAAGTATGTCTTATAATTATACAGGGTGAGTCATGAGGAACTTTACATACTTCTACCATATGTAGAGTCCCTCAGGGAGCATATCATGTGGCCACTAA